CCCCGTGTGCCCGTCCGGGTTGGCGCGTGCCGGAGGGGGGGGGGGGGGCACGGCCATTACCTCCTATATAGGGGTGGTGGTGGCTTAGGGCGCCGGGGCCAAAGGGGGCGCCACAGGGTTGGGGAAAGGGTGAGGAGCGTAGTTTGCACAGTATTATTGTGTTACCCTCTGGATACGTGTGTGTCTGGCCGCCACCTGCATTGTCTCTCTGGTCAGACAGTTGTTGTTGTTCAGTCGCACCGTCGAGTCCGACTCCTCGCGACCCCATGGACCAGCTCCCGCCAGGCCCTCCTGTCTTCCGCCGTCCTCTGAAGTTGGCTCAACTTCATGTTCGTTGCGTCGATGACACTGTCTGACCATCTCGTCCTTTGCCGTCCCCGTCCTCTTTGGCCTTCAGTCTTTCCCGGCATCAGGGTCTTCTCCTCCAGCGAGTGCTCCCTTCTCATTGGGTGGCCAAAGTCTTTGAGCTTCAGCTTCATTATCTGGCCTTCCAGGGAACAGTCAGGGCTGATTTCTTTGAGGATTGACTGATTCGATCTCCTTGCAGTCCAGGGGACTCTTCTCAAGAGTCTTCTCCAACACCAGAGTTCAAGAGAATCTACTCTTCAGCGCTCAGCGTTCCTTCTAGACCAGCTCTCGCAGCCATACATGACAACTGGGAATACCATCACTTTGACCATGCGGACCTTTGTTGGCAGGGTGAGTGCTCCCTTCTCATTGGGTGGCCAAAGTATTTGAGCTTCAGGTCAACCACTAAAACGGACTGGGGGTCATGGTGGAAAGGAGCGGGGGGGGGCAGCAAGATCGGTCAGTGCTGAGAGGACCGGTGAGCCTTCACCCGCCCCTGGGTGGGAGTTGCCGCCAGAGGCTGGGGCAGGGCCGCAGGAAGAAGCGGCTTTGCAAGGAAGTGCGTGGGGGAGGAGGAGGAGGCCTGCAGCCATCTTGGGGCCTGGCCCCCGGCTTACTGCCCAGGCCCCTCCTGACTCTTGGCCCCGGTGACTCAAGGGACCCTCCACGTCTACGTGCCCGGCTGCGGCCCCCTCCTCCGGGGCACCTGGCTGGCTGGCGGCGGCTGCGTGGAAGGTTCTGCCGGGCCCTGCTTCGGTCCTCACCAGGAGTGCTCAGCAGCAGCAGCACCGGGTCCCTGGAAACCCGCACCCACTGCCCGAGACACCCAGCAGACTTCCCGGCGCCAGCGAAAGCCGACACCCCCCCCCGCCCCAACATCATCGCCTTCGCTCGGGTCCCTCCTTCGGTGGCGGGGGGTGGGGTGAGGACAAAAATATGTGAGCCAGAGGCTATCCCTTCTCTGGTGCTTTGGGGTGCACATCCCGAGAGCAGAGTCAGGTGGGTGGGCGGCCGCCTTGGTCTGCAGTGGGACAGGAGCACCTTCGACCTTATCTGTTAACAGACGGCCATCCGCTCTCCGTTCCTGGAAATCTGGCTGAGGCTTTGGACGCTGTGGCTGGGTGGTTGCGGCAGTCGACTGAAGTTGAATCCATCGAAGACGGAGGTCCTGTACCTGGGTCGTGGGGGGTTGGAGGTGGGCACCAGGCTCCCCGCACCTCTGCTGCCGGCCCAGTCGGTGAAGAGCCCGGGAGTGACGCTGGATGCCTCCTGATCTAGGAGGGCCCAGGTGGCGGATCAGGCGACTAAAGCCCTCTCCCTCCCCCCAGTGCAATAAGAACATAAGAGACGCCAATGTTGGATCAGGCCAAAGGCCCATCCAGTCCAACACTCAGTCCACACACAGTGGCCAGAAATACCAGTGCCATCAGGAGGTCCACCAGCGGGGCCAGGACACTAGAAGCCCCTCCCACTGTTGACCCCCCCCCAGCACCAGGAAGACAGAGCATCACTTGCCCCAGAGCCCCTATCTATACCTTGTGGCTAATAGCCACTGATGGACCTCTGCTCCATATGCTTATCTAATTCCCTTTTGAAGCCGTCCATGCTTGTAGCCGCCACCACTTCCTGTGGCAGTGAATTCCATGTGTTAATCACTCTTTGGGTGAAGAAGTACTTCCTCTTATCCGTTCTAACCCGACCACTCTGCAGTTTCATGGAGTGCCCACGAGTTCTTGTATTGTGAGAAAGGGAGAAAAGTACCTCTTTCTCTACCTGCTCTTTCCCCTGGTCACTTCCAGGCTTGATTACTGCAACTCCTTCTATGCAGGCTTACCCTTGAAGCTGATCCAGAAATTACAGCTGGCACAAAATGTGGTGGCGCACCTGCGGACATCAATACCTGTGCGGGCCCATGTTGACATGAGCCCTGTCAGCTGCATTGGTTGCCAGCTGAGTACCGGATCCGCTTCAAGGTGTTGGTAATTCCCTTCAAAGCCTTATACAGCTGGGGACCAACATACCTAAAGGACCGCCAGTTTGGTGTCGTGGTTAAGTGCGCAGAGGACTCTAATCTGGGAGAACCAGGTTTGATTCCCCCACTCCTCCTCCACTTGCACCTGGCTGGACGGCCTTGGGCAAGCCGTAGTTCTGTCAAGAGGTGTCCTTGAAAGAGAGCAGTTTCTGTCAAGAGCTCTCTCAGCCCCACCTACCTCACAGGAGGGTGTCTGTTGTGGGGAGGGGGAGGGAAAGGAGTTTGTCAGCCTCTCTGAGACACCTTTGGGTAGTGAAGGGCCATGGGGAATAAAGCCAATCTCTTCCTCTTCTTCCCATGTACGCCTCGGAGAGCGTTACGCTCGGACAGTCAACCTCTCCTGGCGATCCCTGGCCCAAAGGACGTCCGCCTAGCCTCGACCAGGCCCAGGGCTTTCTCCGCCCTGGCCCCCACCTGGTGGAACGTGCTCCCAGTCGAGAGCAGGGCCCCCCTGTGGGATCTTCTGCAGTTCCGCGGGGCCTGCAAGATGGAGCTCTTCCGCCAGGCCTTTGGCTGAGGCAGTGGGCGTCCACATAGGGCGCCCCCCCACCCCGGTTGCGATCTCCCACCTACTAACAGGGCGAGGTGGGTGAGCACCCGGCCCTATGTCCCAGCTCCCGCCCACCCAGCGGCTCGAAAGCCCGTTAAAGGGCAAATAGACAAATGGGTACCTGCTCTTAGAGTGGGGGGGCACCCGTCCTTTGTGGTGTGGCGGCGGCAGAGAAAGCACGGAGGCGGGGCGACACAGCAGGCCGGAGCCTACTGGACAGAGGCCGGCAGCGAGCATGTGCTCGGTCCAAGCCTGAAGGAGTCACAACAGCCAGGAAGTCGCAACAACAATCAAAGACCAGCGCCAGGAGGACGTCGTGGGATGAGCTCCCGCAGACAACCACGACTCTCTACAAGGGTGCCTGGTAGGCTAGTCACTCTCCCCCTTGTATGTATGTGGCCCTAGGTTAGGATGGGCTTGTGTTGCATGTAATGTGAACCAGAGCCCTCAGGGGGTGAGCGGTATACAAATGGAATGTAATAATAATAATAATAATAACCGGCCATACCTAGTTACATCAGTGGGCCGGATTCTCCCCACGGCAAGCGTGACTACTGGTTTTATATGTTTTAATGTGTTTTAAATGTTATTGTATTTATTACAATGTTGTAACCCGCCCTGAGCCTATTTACGGGATGGGCAGGATATAAATGCAAGAAATAAAATAAGATAGAGCCCAGCAAGCGTTCAAGAGTCAAACTCCCTCTTCCCTCCGCTACACGATGGGGGGGCCGGTGAAGGGGGAGCCTCTTTAAACCGTCCCCCCCCCCCATCTTGTTGGTCTCTTAGGTGGTCCTGGACTTGCATCCCCTTATCTGTTCCAAGATCAGAATCCCTGTTGGCAACGGCACCTCCCTCACCCAGGGCAGCCATCACAGTTCCTTCCAGTCCCGAGCCTGAATTATTTACAACAGGTTGGGCAGCTGCATTAGTCTCTCTGTAGCCGCAGAGCTACAGAGCTGTATGGAGCTGTGGTGGCTCAAGTGGTTAAGACGCTGAACTGCAGGCTGTGGGAGGTCAGTAGTTCAGCAGTTTGAGACCCGAGTGTGCCGCATGACGGAGTGAGCTCCCGTCTCTAGTTCCAGCTCCTGCCAACCTAACAGTTCGAAAGCAAGAAATTGCAAGTAGATAAATAGGTACCACTTCGGTGGGAAGGTAACAGCGTTCTGTGCGCCTTGGTGTTTAGTCATGCCAGCCACATGACCACGGAACTGTCTTCGGACAGCGCTGGATCTTCGGCTTTGAAACGGAGATGAGTACTGCAACCCTAGAGTCGGACTCGACTGGCTTTCAAGCAAGGGAAACCTTTACCTAGCCGCAGAGAAGAGCGAGAGTCCACAAGTCCCTTAAGGACAATCTGTGGCAGGGGAGGAGCTTTCTCGACTCACTGCTCACTTCTTCAGGTGTCTGCAGCTTATGACAGTTTATACCCTGCCACAGATCCTACCCCCACCCTTTTCCTTCCCCTTCCCATCCGTGATTTTTGCTATAAAAATCACAGGCACTGGAGGAAGTGAGAGCTGGGACCTCGCGGAAGCTCACGCTGGGCCATTCATGGCGCCTCCTCACGCTGCCTGCCACCTCTTCCTGTTCTGCTTTGCTACTGCGGACTAACAGCTGCTTTTTGGGAACCAGCATCACGCTAGTGTCTGCAAGGACTGTGAGACACGCAGGAGGAGGAACATATCCCCCCCCCCCAGAGCTACACAGTCTAGGCTGCTTTGGAACAAGAAGAGACAGAATCGCTGGAAAGGAAAGAGCCTTTAATGTACACGGCAGGGAGGGGAAAGGGGGAGATGGTGCCAGGTCCGGCCTGCAGCACCCTGCTCCTTGGGCACCAGCCAGTGCCGCCCCGCCCCGCCCCCGGCTTCCCGCTCCCTGCCCTCTC